CCCTTGTAGTCAACCGCGACGCAGTAGACTACGTCCACGACACCTTCCTCACAGCCACCAGCGCCAGCCTCACCAGCATCGTCGGCCTGTCGGCCTCCGTCACCTTCCAGCCCATCACCAAGGAGTTCATCCAGCAGGGCGTCGCCAAGGGCGGCAATCCCCAGGGCGTGGACCCGTCCAAGGCGCCGTACTTTTGGGTCGTCGAGAACCTGACGTGGCAAGACGCCAAGGACGACGCCGCGGTGAAGGCCTTTGCTGACAGCGTTACGGCGGAGATCGAGGCCGGGTTAGTGGGCAAGGGCGTCGCAGGCGGGTATTTGTACTTGAACGATGCGGGACAGGGGCAGAAGATCTTCCAGAGTTACCCGGCGGCGAACCTGGCGAAGCTCAAGGCTATTCGCGCCAAGTATGACCCGTTGAGGATTTACACAAACCTCTTGGTCGGGGGCTGGAAGGTCCTTGACGCTTGATCTTTGTCTGACTCTGACGGTTGCTGTTACTTTCCACTAATCATCTGAGAATAATGTTTATAGTAATGTGTACTTAATTTGAGCATGATGACCAACCTTGAAAACTGATGTGTACGTGTTTGTGATCCGACCTCCATAAAGCGAATTCGACGCTTCCACGAGAACCGGCATACTTTGGAGTAACAATACTGGATCATCCAGTTAGCCGCCTCCTTTCTCCTGTCGATACAAATCCTGGAGCAGATATCAGCAGAGACATCGCAGTACAACCATGCAATCAGCGAAACGATGATAAAGCTGTTCCTGGAAAACAAAAATTCAACTTTTGTAGGTATTCCAATCTCGCTATGAAATGCAAAATGCGCCCTTCCCCCTTTCTATCTCTTTGCAACTCCAATCTGTACACCCACACCCGGCAGCACAAAAGGAAAGTCTATGAAGAGCCGCCCGTAACCTTGACACTACCATCCTCCATACCAAAGTACGCAGCAACCGGCTTCTGCGCCAACCCAACCTTGCCAGCCGCAGCGGCCTCGACGCCGTTGAGGCCGTGGAAGATGCCAATCTCGACGATGCCGGGGATCATGAGCAGCTCCTTGGCCAGCGCGGAAACCTCCCACGCGCCGCTGGCGTTCCGGGTACTGCCGTCGGAGACGTCTGAAGAAAGCAAGAGCTGCGGGAAGGGCGCGTCGATGAGCCACATGCCGTTGTCGGTGACGACTTCGCCGGCTTTGCCGGGGGCGCCGGGCCGCACGGCGGGCTTGACGGCGCCGAGGGCCGTGAGTCTGTCCAGCACGTCGGGGGCGGACATGGGGAGGACTTCGATGGGGATTGCCTTCCAGTTTGTGAGCAGTCTCGCGGAGAGCTTGCGGTAATCTGGGATATTTAATCAGCTCAATTCTCAGGTCTTCCTGCCGGGGGGAAACTCACCAGCGACAACGACAAACTTCTTCGCAGCGATAGCAACAAGCTTCTCCTGGAACAGACACGCGCCGCCGCCCTTGATGCAGTTAAGCTCGGCGTCCACCTCGTCGGCGCCGTCAAACGCGACGTCGATGGCGACGAGCTTGCCGTCCGGGCCGAGGGGCCTGTCGTCGAGGTTGCACAGGCGCAATCCGGCGGCGCGGATGAGGCCCTTTGACTGGCTGCCCGTCGGGAAGAAGGTCATGTCGCCGTAGAACGCGGGACCCTTGGCGGCGATGGCGTCGACGACGTAGACGACTGTGCTGCCGGAGCCGATGCCGACGTAGCGGGCGCCCGGGGCGAGGTGTTCGTCTACGGCGCGGTAGGCGGCTGCCTTTTTGGCTTGTTCGACGAGGGACATTGTGGGTGTGGTTGTGAGGGCGCGGCGGGGGAGGTGGAGGGAGGATGAGGTTAAGGTTGATGGTGTGGTGGTTTTGGCTGTGCGGGATGGCGTGAGGGTGAGGAGGGGATGAGTCTTGGTGGTGAGGTGTGAGAAGGGGCGTGAGGTGGTGGATGAGGAGGAGAGGAAGTGGAGTGACGAGACTTTTGATCTTATAAGTCTTCTACTTGTGCTGATGCTAGTCAGGGACATGGAAGGCGAGGGCGAGGCGGGAGTCGGGATGAGGTGGTGGTGTTGTAGTGGGATGAGCCATAAAGTTGCGTCTCTTGCGGCTGTCCGGGCTTACTCAGGAACCTGAATCGTGACGCGGGACGGGGAGAGTGGGTTCAGATCTCCGGCTGGCGACGGCTGGTCCCGGATGGGAGGTGTTTTGGAGCCGTATTGAAAGATAGACTTGGACAAAGAGGTATTTGCGGCTGGCATAGGATTATTGTGTTCGGTCGATTGTAACCTTAACCATTGAGAGGCATTGAATTCTCTGGTATCCGATTGATGTCTTTCGCGGTCACCAAGGCGAGAGCCGCAAAATAAGATGGTTGATCCCGAGGTGAGCCTCGGTGAAGACCCCTCCTTCACCGAGCGCGGGGCACAATCCATCAGATGTCAATGCACCACAAGAATTCAGGAACCACTTCTTTTTTTCACCCTCTCCACATAATGACGTACTCAACGGTGATTTCCAGGGACGTCTGTTCTTCTCCTCCACGCAGCACCGACTCAACGCCCGCCGTTGATCGTCTCAGAAGTCAGAACCGGGTCCGCCGAATCAGACCGAGACGGCAAGACCTCGGAGGGGAAGCCGGGAGTCCCACCGGTGTGCGTCCTGGTGGAGAATTGCCGGTGGAGAAGGAGGAAAAAAAGTCTGTACCTTTCATAGGAGATTAGGAGGATCCTTCTCAAGGAACTACCCTTGCGGTCTTCGCGGGTAGTAAAAGGGTTCCATGCTGGACGACGTCATTTTGCTCAAGTATGGAGACTGGCTGATATTCTGAGGGGATGTGGATGGGTCTCAATGTGCATTTGCGGTTTAGGGAACTGCGTTCAATGAATCTGACCCGCCTCGTCAGCGAACTCGTGTTTTATCGAGGATATTATTTCCAATGATAAGATCACAAGTCCATTGTCAACTGACTGCCGGTGCAAACCGCACCATCAGCTCTCTTCAAGATGAAAACATCACCTATCTTGTACCCTTCCTCGAAACATCTTTCAGCGACTTGGCTTTCAAAAGCTGAAATGTAAGTCATCGGGAACATTGATTTGTCAAATGGTCACCCAAGTTCCAACAGAGTCTTAGGCTGTGGATCGAGGATAAGGAGGCAACATCAACATCGATAAACGATTAGAACTCGATTAAACCCCTTGAGCTAGAGGCAATTATTAACACCAAGCTTAATGAGTGAGGAGCAAGATACCGACTACATATTATGGGCTTGATAAGACAAACATCTCGAGACAGCATCAGGTGTCGGCTTCACCTAATCCTGTCGTGACATGAGGAAGTATGGGGCCGAGAGCTTCTGCTGCCACGGTTTCGCTTCTCGTCTTACTAGTAGACGCTGTAGTCGGCCCTTCCTTGAACCCTATCCCATGAGATGCTGAATGGTGTCAGTACATTGCCACTTAGGCTAGTGACGAATAACGTATCAATTCATTCCTCAACTTTCTATATTGATATCGTCTTAAATCCAATACATATACCAAACTAGAATTTTGACGAAGAGACCAGTGTTGTAGAAAACCAACTACCAAAGTACTGACGCCATCCAGCACCCGATGAGAAAGATAAAGACCGATGATCTAAGTGAACCTGTCCACATTGCAAGCAACTTCCATCTCAGACAGGAGTTCTGAGGAAAGGTGAACCGTCTGATACGGAGACAATGTAGTCTCTGACCATTCGACATCTTTTGTCTTTTCAACGCGTTTGCCAGACTCCCACCCAAGCTGCCCTCGGATTAGAGTAACTTCTTTCTCGTCCCCACCAACAGAGACAGATAGCACCTGTCACCACCACACTGGCAACTTCGAACAAGGTCAGCAACAGGCATGCTCCGCGAGGCTAAGTCACATACCAGAACCTGTGATAACCTGCCATCCTGACCATGCATTCGGGGTGAAGGAGTCAATCTGCAGTGCTAGGAGCGCTAAAACAACAGAGATCGGCGACTGTGTTGCGTGAGTATATCAATAGCATTGAAAAAGCAGGGTCTCGTCCGGCGAGATCAACCACTTACAAACAACACTGTCAAAACGGTAAAGACAGCAAGCAAACTAGCCTGCCTCGACGAGTGTAGAGAGGTCTCCGTACTGGCCTGCCCGTGAAGAAGGCCTATGAGTTCTTTCGTCTTCAAAGAAAGTCGGTCAGCCTTCTCTAGTAAAGCATAAGAACTCTGGCGGATGTCAATACCTTTCTCTGCACATTCTTAGCGTCCTCATTGAGTTTTCGTGCAACGATATCAAATGAATTCCGAGCATCCTTGGTTTGGCAGTCCTTGATTCCCCATTTGCAAGGACGGTTCTTTCCAGTCATTTCGTGTATGCTCTCCCAAACACTCCATCGTTGCTCGAAAACATCTTTTATTATTTCGAGCTCGTGTAACACATCGTTGATGTACATCAGACAACTAGTGACCTTGGTCGAGAGCTCGCCAAAGACTTTATCAGATGTTCCGAGAGAATCCTTGAAGGTATCATAGTGACCATCTACTTCTCGCGACTAATGGCGTGACTCTACTGTATCAGCAATTTAAAGGAGGATAGCTCAAATACTGGAATTGATGGAAATTCGAACTCACGATGCGCAACACCTCTTTCGAGAATACCTCCGTATACGGTATACGCTTACCCTTGATCTCAATCAAGGGTCGGTATTGTACAGCTGTCTTCACCATGTCGTGGCAGAGCTGTCTCGGGTCAGGTTCGGCAACATCGGAAATACTCTTGATCCTGATACTGGCTTTGACAAGCTTCTCAAGTCCGACTGATAGATGGTCCTGAGCCTTTTTGGAGGGATTCCAACGTTGGGGGAATAAAGTGATAAGCAGGTCTTCGTCCCATAATCGTATTAGTACACGTAGTTCTTGGCAACAACTGTATGCCTTTGCACTCGCGTGGCATTAGAAATCGCCGGAAAAATGAAAGAAAATTGGCTCTGCCACAAGCGGTTACTCACTGTCCAGTTTGATGATCCAAAGCTGCGAAACTACAAGTATGCTATGAGGGGACTCTCTCTCCTCAGCTGATGATAGCGTCAGACTAGGCTTCTTTGGCTGCCCAGAATGATCCTCTTGCACGCATTCTTGTCTTTCCACGTCCGGTTGAATACCTATATGATTTCTTGCATCAGGTCGGTTCGTCGGTGTATTGAAAAGATGTAGAGGCCAAGACAGAGAAAAACGTGGACCCATTGTATCTGAACTTTGACGCTGACTTCTTTCAGTTGGTTTGGAGGCTTGTGCCTTCAAGTACCGGGTGAAGACCTGCTCCTTATTCAATTGGCTCTGCTGGCCTTCGCTCAGGTCGGTGTGGTAGTAATGATCCAAAGTCCGCGGATAATGCACAGCCCCCTGTTGGCCCTTGTACTCGCCCTTGTTCTCTTGTCCGTACAGGGCCCTCATACCGGGAATGTGTTTTTTGTTGGGCGACATATTGACTAATTGGGAAAAGTCAGGAGATTGCTGACCATGTTCGACTTTCTGGAAACCCGCGAGGTAGTCGACATCAATCACAGGAAGCTGCGAATGATCGTTTAGCAGATTGGAAGTCAACATAACTGGTCCACCCAAGTCTTTGGACTTACCACTATCAGCATGTTCCGGGGCTGTCTCTCTTCGATCGCCTTTTCGCTGATGTTTGATTGTCCTCTTGAACTCCAATTCACATCCTTGATTTCCGTATAGCTATGCTCGCAAAGGGGAGGAACTTGTCCTGTCGATTCGAATGTGGCCTGAAAGCACTTCATGACCTCTTTGAATGTATCATCGGCCTCATCGCCAAGGCACTTTAGACATAGGTCCTGTCCGTAGTCATCAGTATGCTGTACATAAGGTAGGGCGAGGTATTGCGTCGCCTGTGTAATTTGGTCGAGGTACCTTTGCCCAATGCCACTAAATCATTATCATTAGCCGCGAGATGTCGACGATAATTACTTGAGAAGATAAGGTCTCAAATACTCACATTATTTGCTGGGAGATGATACCACTTCATTTTCGTCGCAGTATGGTCTCTTTCCAAGCTTGTCATCTGAGGGTTTCCCAGAACGTCTCGCATGGGAACGCTCTCAATATACCCCTCTGGCTTTTTTGGTGACTCATCCAGTTGCCGGTTAAGTTCGTTGTCTGGTGCGTCGTTCGCCTCCCCTTTCATTTCGATTTTCGGTTCGTCATTTGATTCCTCGTTTGCCGGTTTGGTCGGCTTGGTGTTCCCCCGCCAGGTCTGAGCCATGAAGTAGTCAAGAGGATCGACATGTGAAGAATGCTGCAGTGAACTTCTCGGATTTTCCAACAATTTGGTCAGCAGCTTTTCCCGAATCATGTCTGCTATAGTCTCTGCTCCGAATGTAAGGGCGAGCTGCAGTGGCTGCATTAGATCTGATTCCTTAGCACCTGTTCCAGGATCGGCACCGTGGTCAAGAAGGATTCGGACAGCTTCTCCCTCCCCGTATAAGATGGCGAAATGTAAAGGAGTCCAACCATCTGTATCACCCTTGTTGATAGAATTCTTCGCGCTGTTGACCAAGACCTGCAGCAATGGAATGTTGCCCTCGCGACATGCCTCTTCTAAACATAAACGGCCGTATTCTTCGGACCCAGAAGCTCGCAACATCGCTGGAACGAGTGCCTTCAGCTTGTCGTGTGAGGGATCTTCAGACCACAGAGGGTATATACCGCGACCTGCGAGATAGGAGATTGGTGTGTTTCCGACGTCGTCTGCATGGTGTACTTCAATGGTCTCAGAGAACTTCTTGACGAGCAGTGTGGCGATATCAAGATTTGCGGCTCTACACGCGATCCCCAGCGGAGATTCTTTGGCGCCGTTCTGGACATTGACAACGATCTCGGTTTGTTCCAATAGAATCTTCACTGTGTCAAGACCCCCAAAAAGACAAGCTACATGGAGAGGACATTGCTTTCCGTATTCATCAACCGTGATGGATTTGTCTTGCCGATACCTAAGGACATCCTGGGTCATGAGGTTTCCAAGCGCCTCTGCTGCGAGTAGCTGCTGTGGTCTCAAGGTATTCTCGGTTTTGCCCGGGTCGTTCTGCTTATTCAAAACATAACGGTTCTTCTTGATGATCCTTCGCATTTTGTCCGTGTTGTTATTCTGAATGGCTTCGAAGAGCTCATCAATTGGGTCCAGATTTCGCGCCTCCCCCAGTTTGGGGGAATCTGGCAATCTGTTGCCCGTGTCAACGACACTTGACTTGATGTCCGCCATACTGAGCTTTGTTGAAATAGAAACGATGGTGGCGGATGCAACGTAATCATGAGCAGGCAAAATCTGTGGTTTTCCTGAAAAATGCAGAGCAAATGAAGGAACTACCGACAATTTTATCAGAAAGCATCTCAATTCGATAGACCCTCTGCGAATGGCCCGACTCCCATGAGGAAGCCCGAAACAAAGCGGCATCGATGTCATGATGTTGACTTCTCATACGTCCGGGTGCCCCCTTCGGCTTGCCAATTTAGTAGGACATTGCAGAAACCTGAGACATGCACGCTCGCTATGGAACCAGGCAGCCCCAATGAGGCACCCGTTTGAGAGGCAAAGAATGCGAGTGTGGATTGGATGGCTACGTTGGTTTGAGTCAGCCTTGTTCGACATCTTTTGATTCGCTGGCGATATCGAATCGTGGTGGACATTGTGGTGTGACTGCATACATTTATTTGCAGGAGCTGAACTCGATAGTTCCTCTCATGCAGTAAATAAGAAGGAAGCATACAGTCAATTCAACCAACAAGGAAAGATTCGCGGGCAGACGCACATCAGGGCACATTGTAAGGTGATCCACAGCCCCACTAGGTATGCCCAAGCAGTCTGGTAGGAATTTAAAGCCTATAGCCGACCGAGCCGCGAAGAGTTCGGTCGGAAGCTATCGATACCTTTATCTCAGCAACTGCGGAATAGCGATAGTACATTTTTACGTTTTTTTTATGAAGGCAAAAAACTAATGGTACGTTAACACCACCTGTTTTCCCTTCATCCCTCCTCTCGTTCGATATGTAGAGCCTTAGTATCATAATAACTTCGTCGGTTAGTCAAGCCAGCAGAAGAAAGATAACCATGTCAAGTCCTCTCTAAGCACCTCCAATCTTGTCCCTGTCATCAGCACGGGGAACGCCCGTCTCGGTGGATGAGTCAGATCAAACTGTGTGCGAGGCAGTCGAGAAATTCAGCAAATGAATTCTCCAATGAAGCTGGAGTCTGGGTTGATTGAGGGCTGCGCTGCTCAACTCCGAATACTGGTGTGGATTCTAATGTGAGTGCCTTTCTTCCGTTTCATTCAGCTTTACTCTTTTGTATATATGGTATTCCTCTACTAGAACATTTTAGCTAGTTAGTCAACCGTCTCACTTCCCGTTCTTGAACTACATGTACACTCCATCTTACATAGATCTTCTGGCTTGTGGCCAGTCCTCTTGTGGAAGTAACTTCACTACCACTGGCTAAGATCAGGTAGACAGGAACACATGACCATCCTCGGGGTTGAATCAGTACTCAATCACTAGCCTTCTCAAGTGTAGCAAATGACAACTTGGACTTGTATCGAGTTATGACTTCTGACTGCCTCTATAGACCATACTTTGTTCACAAAGCCCAAATTGAGTATACTATTCCGGTGGACAGACGGTCTTCCTCAGGTTCACGGTTCTTGCGGGCCTTATTCAGCGATGACATTTCAGTGAAGTAAAATTTGGAAGGGACTAGTGAAGGCCATAGAACTCCATGAGGCGGTGCTTGTGTAACGCTTTCGTTTCAAATGTTGCGGGTTCCTAATCTGCGGGAGCGTGAACCACAGATCGAACCATGACATGTATACACAGCCACATTGCTGACATAAATCTCAAGGCAGAGGCATCTTGAGGTACTCTTCTTATCCCTCTGAAAATGATTGGCTCGGATCTCATACGGCCGAGTAGGTCAATTCACTGAGCCTTTGGCTAGCCCATGAGCGATGGTCATTGGCTATTAGATTGCTGGGGTGGGAGCCGGCATATGATGTCTGCCTGGAACCTAGCTGGCGTTCGTTTGGTAAGTTAAACAATGGTATCATCCTTGACGGGGATCTCTATGCTTGACGTTGTCAAACAACTTTGACTTCGACCTAGAGATTATTAATCTTGCCTATTGGAAACACGAAGCCAATGAAGCCCCGCAGCTACAATATCAATACGTTCAAGTACTACTAATAGAATAAGGGGCAGGTTTGACCATCTATTAGGCTACCAGAGTCTAGCTGAGAAGAAAGGCATACCAAAGGGCCTTTTGCTCTGGCTCAAGCTCTGGCTCCCCGTCGTCCTGTCTCTTCCGGCAACGTCTTTCCGCATCCGTTGTCAATGTTTCGATCCCCATGTTCTTACTGACATAAAGGAGGCCTCTTATCTGAGATGATGGATACGAAATCAGAGCTTAGATGGATTTCTTCATCGAGACGAACCGCTCTAAATATCATCCAACGAATCTGCGAATCTCGGTCCATAACCCGAAAATGGTCGTCAACCGGTTGCATCCATGGCATACGATGGCAGGTTCTCTAGCGTCAATGGTCATTGACACAGGGACCTTGACATTGAATGACACGTCGCATCGTTTTTGGGGTTATGTTGTCCCACCGGCTCCGGTCACTTACACAAGACTAGTATCCCTTGAACATTGAAAAGGGGCGTTGTGAATTTGCACTCCAGAATACTTAAGCTTTGCCGTTCCCCCGGGTTCATTCACGATTGAGCGGTGCGCAGCTAGCGCCTACCAATTTGCTATGTAACTCAATCTGAAGATCTAGGTTCAGATTGACTTCTTGTCAACGTTGTTGCACGGTGAGTCAAGGTGAGATCTGCTAGCGCACCGAGCCATGGCACACTGACTCAACCAAAGATCGACTATGACCACTTCTGACTCTACCGGATTTCGATTCAGAGATTTTCTTAGCCCTACAAGATGAGCGGCTGCGTCTTGAGCTGCATCAACCACGGGTCCCTTTGAGGCCGTTCTGCTTGGCACCTGTTTCCATCATCAGGGTGCAATACAAGTGCTGTAATGTGCAGCACCTTGGCAGAGACGCAGATAAACAACGACTCGGAGAAGACAAAGGTGAGACACGGCCGAATCAGCACCGAAATTGGGGGAATCACATTGCAGAATGACGTTCGAAACCATGATCGTCGAACCCGTCCCTGAGAAAGCAGAATTACTGCCTCTCATGGAAGCAGGCTCCAAAACATCGAGGTAAGCCCAATCAGGTTTTTTCTAGAAGAGAGGCCTCCATGATGACCGATGATTCGCGGTCCAGCCACTCTCATGGAACCAGGTGGTCTGCATGTGGATGAGAGTCGGCGCGGATGGTGCAAACGCCGTAGCCGCCCTTGTCTTGATTGCATTGTTTATGGTAAGAATGATCCGTTTCGAAGGGGGGCCTAGATCATCGACGAAAGTGACGTTGATGAGCCACGGCGATCATAACAAGGAAGGGCGAAAATCCAGTCGGGTAGGCAGAGGAGGAGTTGCCGCCAGACGTCTCGACTGATGCAGTGGTGGTGGCTGAGGGCGATTCTCATGAGCGAATCGCATTTCACGAACAGTGACAGGACCCCACTATTATCCGTTTAAAGACATTGACGGTTGACGGCCTGTCGTCTAGCCTTACGAGGATTGACGTTCAAGTGTCAGAAGAGACAAGGGGGGTTGAGAGGGGTCATCTTGGGTTACTGTGTTTATGACTTGGCGGTTTGGTGGGCAGGCTTGCGTTGTAATCCAGCTGTCATCTCGGAAACTGGAGAGCATCAGAGGGTTATCCCAGAGACAAGCGAGTTGTCAAAATTTGCGGGATACCGATTGGCTACCCAGAAGCCATCTCGGAACTCTGCGCTTCCTGGACTTTAGAGTTCACGTTGACAGAATCGCAAGAGCCAATCGCAATCAACTTGAGAAGTCTGAGCGGAGGGGCTCCAGATATAACAGCGGCTGAACCCCCCAGCAAATAAACGCGGCATGACAGCATCCCCCAGCCAGGTGTCGACAAAATTAGGGATCAGATATCGATTAATGCCTTCTGCTAAGTTCAGTCAGCGCTGATGAAAGACGGTGGCATCCCGTCCCGGGGGAACGAACACAACTCTTCACATATAGGTTCGCACTCCTATATGTGTGCCCCTGGTCAACGCGGCTGTGCTCTTCGTGATCTCCAGGCGATCTGACGCTGTAACATGCTTCCACAACGGCTGACTAGCGAATCGCATTCTTGCGGAAGCACACCTTTCCTTCCGACCCCCGCTCATTTCCCCAACTGTTCGTGCCACGAGATCCTTGGCAAGAACACTCAGGAACGCTGTCTAACGCCGATGTCAAATGGCTGACAATTGAAACAGTCGGTTGGTTGTCCCTAAATTGGGGATAGATCTGCTGAGGTTGTCAAAGTCTAACGCAAATGCCGACTAGGGGCCTTGCAAGTTGCACGCTTCTCACTTTCCCATCTCATGATTCCACCGCCGTAAGGCCGCTAACGCTCCTCGTCCGTCTTGGACGGAAGACTGCGCAAACAGCACCCGGCGTTTGGGGCCGCCGACGTTGCATCCCGAATCGAGCTATACTACCGTGTTTATATGACTTGCATAAGGTGTGCATTGGTGATTTGAGAATCTGGAGAATCTGTGATCGTGAGATACATAAACGTCGTCGTCGATCCAGTTCTCGCCAAGCTCCTTTCTTCTGTGTCTCAAGCTCACATCAAGATACTTTGCGAAAGCATCAACCACTCGCAACTACAACTCTTCAACTCCAACAACATACTCTTTGTCTGCAGGTATCAGGCGCCATGGATTCCTATCTCGAGGAGACATCTTACACCTTCTTCCCCAGTGTCGAGGGCAACAGTCCAGTGTACACATTCGATTCTCAGTTCATTCCTTTCCCCGCATCAGAGGGCACGGAGAATTTCTTTTATCCATACTCATTCCCGGCATACCAAACATCAATGCCTCTCATGAACAACGCTTCTCCACTCTCCTTGGACACCGACTACGCAACCATCAACACCCCATTCACCGCATCCTCCCCCCGCTCAGACTTCTCGCCCATCCCCAGTGAGCCTTTGGACTTCGCATCACCACCTAGCACCAGCAGCGGACCAGTCTCGCCACGGTCACCCCCACAAGAGGTGCAGCCCGAGAGCTGGGGCCCGGCAGATCTTCACCAAATGGGTTATCTCGACGTCGCCGGCAACTGGCGCTGCCGCTACTCAGGTTGCTGCTCCTCGCGTGTGTTCCTGCGCGCGTGCGATCTCAGAAAGCACTTCCGGGGCCATGCAAAGTACTTCTTCTGCACCGAAAAGAGATGCCAGCAAGCGGGCGTTGGTTTTGCGACGCGCAAGGACTTTCAACGGCACATGGGCTCTCACAAGCCTGCTGTGAGGTGCATGCATCCGGACTGTGATCGCATCTTCAGCCGGAAAGACAATATGGTTCGTTCAGCCCATTCTTATTATAACCCCATTGAAACACAAGCTAATCTACAACAATAGAGAGAGCACTACAAGAAGATTCATCAGAGGTTGAGAAATAACCTCTTCCCAAGGAGGTGCCGTCAGACCAAGAAGAGGGAATCGCAGGCTGCCTCACCAGAGTCCAGCTGCTCTACTTGCTGCATGGAGTGTTAAGTTTCTTCGATTTCGGGCAAGATTATTTAAATGCATTGGCAAAACGGCTTAGCGGCCTCTACCATTCGTTATACGATTCATGAACCAGGGGTTAAGCGTTGTGTTTTCATGGAGTCTTCGGGGAATAGCATAAGAGCTACTGGACTCATCCTAGGATGGGAGCCCTATAATAGATAGATTACTAGTATTTGATGCCTAATGCAGCCATTCATTACCTTCTGATTAGAATACCGAGTCTCTAGCATAGGGACTGCAATCATTCCATGACAAGGTTTCGAGAAAACACAGCTAGCTAAGATATCGATCCAGAAATTCTATCGGAAGTCGAATCCCGAAGGCTCCCTGTCTATTTCCGTACATGACAAGGTAAAAATGCCATTTCTAACCGGGCAACAAACTCCGCAAGCGGACTCCGCCAACGGAATTGAAGCAATACTCACCTTGCTGTAGATTCAGCTCTCTCTAGCGATACGATTGAAAATCTCTACGCCGTCATGGTTCGGCGCATCCCTCGGCTCCCGCGTCGTCGATGCTCAACCAAATGCCGGATGTCGGTGAACCATGAACGAAAACGAAGCACACCCGCATACAGACTAGCTCTAAGTACCACTGATCATGGTCTCGATATTATTTGTATCAAACCGTATTGCATATCTGTTTACCAGCTGTGCACGTCGTTGAGCTGTTTGAGGTTTGTCGAAAAGCCCTAGGATGGAGGAATTTCAAGGCCTCATTCGCAACAGCTCTAGAACAAGGTCCAATTTCCAAAGTATTGCCGTATACACTAAGTAAGTATTAATTTAGTTATTGAAGATTAAATATCATGCTTCTTACCTGCATTCTCGGAGCCCGCGAGGTCCGTAGCACCGAAAGAGATTCCGATGTAATGCAACATTACATACGGTAAGTTTCTAAGCATATCGGACGAGACTTCCGATAGAACTCATAGTTGACATTATTTTACCTTTTAGATGACACAAAAGCCTCCCGAGCCCCATTCTGTCGTCAAGTGTCCTCTCACGCCTTACCAATACCAGCCCTTGTTTGAAGACGACACATTGTTTCCATTTGAGCAAGCCAAACCGCAAAATTCAGACTGAAACTACAGCCATAGAAATGTCCAAGACGGATATCACGCTCATTGGAGTCGGCAACATCGGCGCCGCAATGGTGAAAGTCTGGGTGAAAGCTGGACTGACCGTCACCATGTGGAACCGAAACCATCAACGGCCATCTCTCAACGAGCTCGTCGAACAAGGCGCCGTTCTTGAGACAGACATCCAAGCAGCTATTCAAAACAGCAACGTAGTTGTATTGTGCGTCTCAACCTACGACAACATCATGGATGTCCTCGCACGTGCTCTTCCCTTAGGCGAAGGAGAACGCTCAGTCTCGGTCATCAATATCACAACTGGAACTCCCAAGGAAGCTCGCGACATGGAGACATTCCTGAAGAAGAACGGAGTCACTGCGTATTTTGACGGTGCCATCATGGTGACGCCGGCCTTGGTAGGCACCGAACACGCTTCAATGTTTTTCAGCGGCGAGAGCGAGGGCGAGTTCGGCAAGATATCTCGGCGTTGTCTGGAGCCGTTGGGACAAGTCCACTACATCTCTGAGGATTCTGGAGCAGCAAGCTTATGGGATCTCGCAGCCCTAGCTGCCTTGTATGGAACCTTCACCGGTGGTATCGTTGCTCTCAACCTGCTCAAACGCCAAAAGCCGGGAAAGAGTAACGTCAAACCCTCGACAACCAAGGAACCGATGGAAAAGATCGTATTGCCTCTGCTTTCGACTTTCTTATCCCATCTGTCCGATGTTGCCCAATCTCTGGACGAGGGAACGTGGGAAGAAAACTTTGGGAATCCAGCTTCGATGCAGATCAAGGGGCTCGAGACGATTTTGAGAGGCTGTCGCGAAGAGAAGGTCAGCAGCGAAGGACTCGAACTTTTCCATCGCATGCTGAAGAGGTGCATTGGAGAGGTTGGAGAGAATGCCGGTTTGGCTAAGATGGGAACGTACCTACATCAGTAATGGCATACATCTTTGCCTCGCTCGTTTGGCCAAAGCCACGAAAACTTCATTATGTGTACACCGCTATTACAGGTGAAAGGGAATTTCTAACAAGTCTATTATTAATAATACAAAAAGAAAAGACAAATATGTTATTATCCCCCTCTTTGCAATTCAGCTCTCGAGGCATCGAGTTCAGCCACAATGTATCGATAGAGCTTTCAAGTATCCTCCGTCATGATATTAGTCTGAAGGCATTTCAACAATTATGCACTCAAGTCTGATCGAAATTAGACGTTGATGCTGGTTCCCACAACCTCCGGAAAAGCAGGATCACCCGCCTTAGTGAAGACAGACTTAACCCGCTTATGCAACACCAAATCAGCAAAAGCCCCAACGATTCCAGCAACGACCTTTCCAATCCTGCCAAACTCGAGAGTCCCAAGTTCGCTCTCTAACAAAGAGCGTGCTTCTTCAGGCAAAGTAAGGTTCAGTGAAGAAATGAGGTTGGGGAAATCTGTGAACGCCCCGTGCGTGGTGTTGCTGACAGTCAGGAGAGCTTTTGAGCCTCGCAGAGCGGGAAAGAAGACGTCCCAGGTCGGATCATCGGTCGAGTGTCCCGGCCGGCCAACGAGAGTAAAGGGCCGACTGAGACCTGCGTTGAGTACGGGATCGAGAAGCTTGCCGTCCAAATTGATGCCACCTAAGATGCGCGAATCTTGCAACATTGCAGCCGCCGCCGTAGCGCCCCCCAAAGAGTGGCCAAACATAATCGTGCGCTTGAGGTTGACGCCATTAATGGGGTTCTTTTGAAGATGTGAGAGCACAAAGGAGACATCGTCAGCTCGAACCTGGAATTCTGTCAGCTACACGTCGGCTACGGACTACTCGGGGTACAACTAACCTGGGTGAGAGATTCCAACTGTGTAGTATTGTCGGTGTCGAGACTCACAGCCTGATACACGGTTCCATCAGGAAACTCAACAAAAGAAGGGTCGTAAGGGTGGTCGATCGTAACGACAGCAAAGCCATAACTGGCCACCTCGCGAGCCATCGCGCCGTAGAGGAGGCGTGGGTTGCCCCAGCCAGGGGAGAATAGCACCAGCGGAAAGTTCGAAGGAGGACGCCTGCATGAACGTGCTCTAGGCTGGCAAAACTCCATCTCGAATGAAGAGAAGGTGCCGTTGGGTAGGCCGACAGCGACGCCCAGCTGATCGTAGGCCGCGGCCACGAGGGGCGTCATGTATGGCACTCTTTCCATGCCCTCACAGGAGTTTTTTGCCTTCTCAACGGGCATGAAAGTCGAAGTCATAACTCGTCGTGAGTGCGTGTTATTGACTGGGGCGTAAGGGTCAAGCCTGCTGTCATCGGTCAGGGCTTCCACCGACATGGAAACCGCGTAAGGTCCAGTTGGTCCGTTGACGAGAATCGCCTGAGTCGCTGAGGCGAGAACGCCTATGATCAACGCTGGGATCATGATGCCAGAAGTTAAAGGCTAGAAAGTGGTAGCGAAAGGTTTGATTAGGTTTTCGGTGCGTCAGATATAATATAATCAAGAGAGATAGTGCTTGTCTGAGTTGAGAAAGATGAAACAGAATGAGAAAGACGATGCATCTTATACTCATCCATTGTCACTTTGTCCTGCCCATTATTACACTCGAAAACCCTCTCGCGTGGTTGCTTCCCATTTGAGACAAGTCTAATTAGGCCGGGCAATGTGAAAAGATGGAAAAAAGAGAGTAGCTGCGCCATAACTTGAGTCGGAACTTTGAAGACAACTCGAGGCTTTGGCCCCCATCTCTCTAGGCACCACCTCAGCTTAGATGTTGCCTGTTATTCAATTGGCTATACTACCCCGTTTTACTGGAGATTCTTGCTTAGCGTCGCTCAATTGCTTCCGCTTTGGGTTTGGTGAGTTCGGGGTCCTGATCCACTCCCCGACGATCTCAACATCTTACACAACTTGCGCGAACCTTTCGTATACACACTCTCTCTGTGATGACTATTCTCGCAAATTTTGCGGCGAGTAACAAAGACTTTGGGCCATACGAAAATCACAGGCCTCTCATGGTATTCTGGCAAAACAAAGATGCATCTTGGGCCGTTCGACCGTCGGACTAGACGTTCTCGCTGCGCACCGTGCGCTACCAGCCACTCGAAGGTACGGCAATCCACCCCTGTCTTTGCTATTGCTATTGCCGCAAGCAATTAGGCTTCTTCGAATTATGGTCTCCTAATTCTCTACGATCGAAGTGTTCCGGTTCAATCCCATGTGCTCAATGCCAGAAACGCTGCATTGAATGTATATTTCCGGTAGTGTCGGCTCCGAGCAACGGAGCTACAATCCGGCTAGCCAAGGGGAAGCTCTTCACGGCCAAGTCTTTCGCAACGCCTGTCACGCAACGACCTGTCCCGCCGCTCTCGGATGAGACCATTAATTACATCTTTTATTTTGATATTTTTATACGCAAGAACAGCTTCACCGGTCAAGGGCCTGAATACGTAGCAGACGTTCAACAATTAGCCAAGACTTGCGGCCAAACAGGAAGAGGCCCACATAACCATCTGCTGGACGCAATGTTGGCTCTGGGTGCTATGCAAGCAAATATCCTTGGCGCATCAGGCTGCCACAATAGTCTGCGTTTTGCGCTTGAGCATTACTTGCAGTCCATAACCTCTCTCCGAGGAGCTGTCTTAGACTCCACATTGGCACGGAAAGATAGCATTCTCTGGTCAACCTTTTTCCTAGGGCTATTCGAGGTTCGTAAAGCTCAACAAACCTATCCGGATGCTCTTGTGTACTTAGCCTCGAGATTTTTTTGATAGCAAGACAACGAGCTAACATTGGCAAAAGTTGCTTCAAGACGCCTCTGGCCAGAAGTGGCTACAGCACATGGTCTTCGGCACATCTCAGGCTCTCATCGCCAGCGGGCCGTCAGCATGCACCTCGGGAACAATGCGAAAGTTCTTCATACAGGCACGAACTTTTGAAGTCTGTAGAAGCATAATATTCAACCAGTCCAGCTTCCTGGCAGCACCAGAGTGGATGAAGGTAACACAGAATTTATCGGAAGAGGCAAAAATTCAAAGTCGGGTTTCTGTAGATGATATCCTGAACATGATTGTGTTATGCTCCAGGCTTAGAGCACGGTAAGTTTGACCGCTTTTTGTTTCTTCGTGTGATGTGCGTTAAAGAGCTAATGCTGATATACAACTCCAGTACGGGCCAATTCATTAGAACTTACGCCAGCTTCCCCGGAGTTGAGGTCCCATCCATCGATGCGCTAGAACTTGCCACAGAGGGCTTCTATCTTCGCGATGCACTTGAGACTTGGAAGCTTGATGCATCATTTTCATCTGCCCAACACAATGAGATGCTTCTCGCAATGAGTTACTACTCGGCAACAAGCATATATCTCTCTGGAAACTATGACTACGACCTACATCACTGGCAGGCAATGACCGTTGCGGTACCAGTGCTAAGCCGAGATGAGATAGTGAAGCATGTTGAAGACATCTTGCAGACAACCAGGGAAGCGCTTCGATCCTCTACTCTATCGCCGCTTCTGCACCTTTTCCCACTACGAGTAGCAGGGGCAAGGTCCCGAGAACATTCCCAGCGGCAGGCCGTGACCGAGTGTCTGCTCGAAGTCAAAAAGCAATTTGCTGTTGCCGATGCGATGTTGGTCGAACTCGACGAGTTGTGGTCTTTAAGTCCCATTCAAACACCCTTAGACAGCTGAATAATGTTGATTCCCATCTTGGTACGCCGTGTCGAGATCGCAAGCTTGGTTTGTGATCTACTCGGGTTTCTTGTAGTTCGGTGAGACTTCTGACAATTGCCTTTGGTGCTCCCCCTTCTCAATCATGTCTTTGATGATTTCGTCTGCGACCTTCATAGCCTGAACACCCGCTGGCGCACCACAATAAACCGTTGCTTGGAGAATCGCCTCGCGGATTTCAAGCTCTGTCAGCCCATTTCTGATCGCCCCTCGGATATGGATTCCAAATTCAGCCCAGCTCTTCAGAGCAATGAGCATGCCGATGTCTGGTGTAGGCGTTAGCTCGAGGGCATACCACCTACATGCATGCCATGCACAATTGCGGCAGGGCCCAGCTCGAATTAACTTACTTAGCAGGCTTCGCTGCTTGCGTTCCAGGCCAGGACGCGACCATATGTTTCCCCAAGCCCACCTATTTCGATTGATCTTAGATTGAAATTACGCTCAATGCATTGGTCGATATCGAGATTCTTACTCCGTAATCAGCTCTTGTTGAGCAAAGGCGAATTCGCTAGAGCCATTGCGCATCGCGGTCTCGACATAGCCCTCTCCAACGACTTCGCGCCGGTTCTTCAGACCAGCTTCAAACAGTTCAGCGCGCAGCTTTCTGCTATTTTCGGACGACATCTTTGCTCTGGGGTTTGCAGGAAAACGTCGGAAACGGGTGAAGGTTCAAAGACCAGTGCTACAGAAAAGCATGAGACCGAATAATACTAATATCTCTCCCCGTTTCACAAGGAACAACTCATCATCCGTGTTCGGTAGAGCTGCGGAACCAATTGAGGGGTCACATCCGAGCTTAAGGTGATAAAAATGGCCGATGGCGCCGAATCGATCCGCAACCGGGGGAAAAGCCCACACCCCGCACTACCCCGATAACCCGCACGAAGTGTGAGGGCTATCCCGCGTTATCCCGTCTGCTGCATTCGATAGCTGCTCAAGTCTCAGATTTGCATCTCTAGCATCGTTACTGTATTCGGCACATCTAAGATCTTACTAAACCAGCTTAAATAAACTCCAGTAGGTCCTTCTTTGGCCTCTGAGCCAGCTTCCACTTTCCCTTATGTCCTTGCTCGTCTTGTTGATGACTTTCCTCGTGAAGACCCGGAATCTGCGCTCCTTTGTGGTTCCGCTGATTCTCATCATCATTATCCGGGTTCCCAGGCTCGGGATATTTCCTCAGATGCTCGACCGCCCAAATTAGCTCCTCGGAAAGTACAGGCGGCGTCCGCCCCTTGCCCCTTAGCGTCGGAAGACCGGCGACACGGAACAACCAGTTGAGCCACTCAAACGTCTCGCCAGTTTCCCAGGCAATGTCGTGGAACTTTCTGCCTTCCTTCTCGACGAGCTCTTCCCTTTCCCTCTCCCATCGCTCCTGTTCCTCAAGGGACGGCAATGCAACGGACTCTCTGCCAGAAAACACTCTTGCCAATGCGATGGCCTGATACTCAAAACTCCTGAACGTGAGAACCCTTGGCATACCAACAATCCCCAACGTCTGGAAATCCTGGAAGAAGGTATGCCAGAAAGTCTTGATAAGCTTCCCACTTTTATAATCGTACAAGGCTCTTCCTCCATTGGCTTCCGAGTTCCAGAAGGGGTAGGAGGGTTTATAGCCTGTGCAGTAGATGATGTGATCGACATCGTCGAGGTATGAGTCGTCTTCAAAAATTACACGCCCGTCGAGACGAAACTCCTTGATAATCGGTTTCCAAGCGATGCCCGGAGGCGGTTCGTCGCCATCCCAGCGGGACTTGGACCTCCGGGACTGATAAACGGGGGTTCGGACTGTCTGAACCAGTTCTTCTGTCACATCATGGCCAGATGCAGAGTTTCCGATGGTAACAATTTTCTTTCCGGTGTAAGGTTGTGGGGTGCGGTAGGTCTTGGAGTGCACGACGCGGCCCGGAAATTTCTTGATGTACTCGTCCAGACCCTTGACGTGAGGAACCTGAAAGCATACTATGTTAATCCAGATTCGAATAAGCGGGTTACAGATTCATAAAAGGCTGTACTCACATAGGGTACCGAGTAGTGGCCGTTGGCGAAAACTACTGCATCAAACACCTCTTGCCACCAAACGTCGACGTTACGCGCAGCGTCAAACTTGCGCAGAGTTAACCTCCACTGCTCGGGCCTGTCTTTGGCCGGAATTCTTGTCACATCCTCAACTGTGGTGTTGAGTACCAGGATTGAGTCGGTCTTGTGCAGGGAAAAGTAGTTCTCAATGTATTGTCGTGGAATCCAATGCGGCGCAAATGGTCCGTAAGCGAACCTGGAATCCGAAAATGACATCGCAATGTCAGGGACATTGGTACTTCAGGATGTCATCAGCAGCTCTCTTACGCATATCATGGGAAGGTTCAGCAATACTTACGTCAAAGAGTGGTAGATCGGAGTCTGTGAGTAGCGTTCTCGTTGACTATGGGGCTTGACCTGGGGAAGCTTGCCCGGGATCTCCACTGCGGGATCGACATCGGGCGGGAGGCTCCCGGGTTGAAGTGGAGGTAGCTCTGACGGGCTTGGATCGTAGATCCTAAAAGATGGAGTCAGTCACAATGGTCGGAATGAGAACAAAAAAAGAACTAGTACCATGTTCCGCCCGCGGACTCTCTTCTTTCGAATACCTGGATTCTTTCAAAGTAGTCTTCCGCTTTGAAAGCTGCAGCGGTAACAGCACCTAGTCGATATCGGA